AGCGTGTATTATTTTTAATACTGATGCATATGTAAAGGTATATTTGCATTTTTTTAATTCGCGAAAATTTCAGGTTTTGTCGTTTTATTGGTTCCCTTTCCCTCTTTTTTTTTTTTTTTTTTTGGTTGTTATTTTATTATGTCTATCTGTCTCTCTTGTCCCTTTCTGTCTTTTTTGGCGAGTGTCTGCTGCTGTCTCTTGCTAGATAATATAAACAGTTACCTCCCTGCTTCTGTTTATTTAAGGTTACAAATATGCACATCTGTCATGTATGCAATGCCAGCTGTATAACCTCCTGGTTTGGTCATAAAAGAAAAGACACATTTTTTTTCTTTCTTTCTTGACATACCTTGATGGGCTGTAATGCCCATCGCTCAAGGCTCAAAGTTTGATTGTCTAATTAACTTCAATTAGCAGAAACACAGTTCAGGGCCAGTGCTTTCGAGATAATCTGTGTATAAGTGAAGTGATTCCAAAGATTTCTAAAGAATTTTTGTGCTGATTGCCTGAGAGGTGCGGCATTCCCCGCCCTATTGCTTTCTAGCATTTCTTATTGAAAAATATATATATATTTTAAAATGGGTAGACACAGCAATGGACAGCCTTCTTCAAGGAAGACATTTTCAACCATGTTGTATGTTGTACCTTATCGGCTGCATTCAAAATTTACTGTTTCATTTTTATCTTAATATGTCTGGAAACAAGGCACATTATCTTGACTGAAAAGCATCCTTGATTCCTGACTTTGAAATGAAAAAAATACACAAAACAATTGGCTATATTAAACCAGTTGATGTGCCTTAAAATATACAGGCCTTGAGTTTAGATTTCAAGCAATGGTAATCTTGTTTATAGGATGGGATTCTCTTTCTTGGCAATATAGCTATGCAGCATGATGGCTTTTGGAGTATATATATAATATATATTCCAAATTATATATAGTATATATAGTTATATATAATATAATATATATTCCACCTTTTAATTCCCCCAAAGCTATCATTGAAAAAAGACTCAATCTATAATTGCAAACCCTCAAAGAACAGCAAATATGCACACATGCAGCTTATTCAATTAAACAATCCAAGTACATGCACAGATAATTAGTTTTCTTATTAGTGGCTTACCTGCACAGATACTCAGGCCAAGACTCAGCCTTCCCCAATGGCCTTCATGTATAAATATACACATGTATTTCCCCCGATTTCAAACCTAAAGCAGTATGCCATCTTTCATGCTGGACTATCCAGCATCCATTTTCAGCTCCCTTAACTCTTATGGCATTTCCAGCCTTACCTCTGGCTGTAGTTTTTCCAAGCCTACACCAAAGTGCTCATATGATATGTCACCCAATAAAAAGTGGTCAGATGGCTACACGTATAACATTAAAAAGCAGAAACACACTCATCCTTCAGGTTCGCCTTTACCTTGCCATATATAGCAAGACTACGTTTCCTAAAATACATTTTCAGCACATTTTATGAATAATTGCAGGATTCCACAACTGATTGCAGAATAGCCGGTTTCTGGGGGGTACCTGGCTGAGTGAAACAATTCGGCAGGCTCAAGGTCTCTTTGAGTTTGGCTGCAGTTAAATTGCGCGTGGCTGTTTGTTCCTGCCTGGACTCTCGCACATACCTGCCTGCGTTTATGTAGGATCAGGACAAACACATCGGCCACGTTGCAGGGCATAGACTGTCGGTGCATATATTTAGATGGCAGTAGCAAGGAACGCGTGCGTGTACGGCTGTCTGAGCATGCATGTGTGTACAGATGCGTGTGTATGTGTGCGCGCGCGCTGTGTGACAAGGAACACAGAGAGGTACACCTCTTATCTCTGATCTCTCTGTAATCTCCTTTTCTGTTTCTAATCTCCCTTATTGGCGCATGG